GGTGCCCCCTGACGTGCCTGGGCGGAGGCTCCTCCTGAAGCAACGGTCTGTTAGGGTGTTCACTTCTGTGACACCCCACCAGAAATTGCTTACATAGCATTTTGTTTTGTTCTCTGACGGGGAGCACTTGGGCCTCGCGGTGCAGGTGGTGCTCAGGCGTCATCAGAAGGCACCCAGTCGCTGTCCGGAGTGCGGCGTTCTGACAAGTCTGTAGCTTCGTCCACTGCGTCCAACTAGTCCCCGGCGTCCAAACTGGCGCAGCATAGTTTAGAACCGGCCGGCCAATTGCCTTGTATGTTGCCAGCAACGTTTCTTTGTCTTTGCCCCAAGTGCTGCCGGCGAGCGACTTGAGGACCTTGTTGCGGCTCTGTACTTTATTGACAATTGCGGTTGTGTGCGTGGAGAAGGAAAGCAGTCTATCGAAGGTGACTCCTAAGATTTTTGGGTTGTTTACAGTCGGTATTGGTGTGCCGTCATGTGTTAATTGTAAATTGCGCTGGAAAGCGCATGTCAAGAAAAAACGTGAGGAACTCGATTTAAAATTAAGAAAGCTAAACTACCTTATTGGCAGGCATTCAGGCCTATCAATCCACAACAAATTATTGCTTTATAATCAAACTCTAAAACCAGTCTGGACTTATGGCATACAGTTCAGGGGATGTGCCAGTGCAAAATACATTGCCACAATTCAGCGCTTCCAAAATAAAGTGTTACGAAGTATTGTAAACGCTCCATACTACGTTAGAAATAGCGATTTACATCGTGATCTTGGCATGCCAGTTGTCACTGATGTGGCAAAAAAATCATAAACAGCGTTAAAATCCCACATCAACGATGAAGCTCCAAGTCTACTTAAAACGACTGCGCAGCGTAGACGGCTCAAGCAAAAAACTGCATCAGACCTGATGGAAAGCAAATAGCGGAAATGTTACTTATATATTTGTCTACAAGTGTATAAGATACACAACGCTTTTCTTTTATCTTTAAATTTACTCGATACAAATTGCTTGTTAGTATTATTTTTGTATGTATATACTAGTTGCAATAAAAAAACTAATGAAAAAAAATTTAAAAACAAAGAATATACTATTTAAAGACATTTTGATTCTTTTCATAAGGAAACATTTTGATGAAGAAGAAATACGACTTTTTAATGAAAATAGTTAATTTTTTCAAAGAATTAAAGGGTGGTTGTTAAAGGAAATATGTATGCGATTAAAAGACATTTTTAAACATTTCATGATGACATGGAAAATTTTGATGAACATGAATTTCAATTTTTTAATTTAAATTTTCATTATTTTACGTGGGTGAATCCAAATGAATTTTGAAATTTTTTATTTTAGTTTTACTTTAATATTTTCATAACTCAAAAAACTAAAAACTAGAGAAAACTAGTTTCAAAGTTTAGAATTTACATATATATTCCCATGGGAAAAATTAATGCATATTAGCTTTTCCATGAGTTTACATACTATGCGCGGATGAACATTTTTCGGGAGAATTTTTTTTCTGGCAAAACTCAGGATAAGGCTGATTTTGTTCAAGTGACCTTCTGGTAATCGTTACAGCTATGAAATTTTTACACATCATAAGAAAGAGCTAATGTTCATTCTTGCATACTGTAGCAAATTCTCTATTTTATGTCTTTTTTGTTCACAGTATTGCCAGGTTGGTATTCTTGGATTACGTTCCACTTATTTCTATGGTGGTGTTGCCACCGGTCTACTATACATCTATACTCTTTATTATGTTACATTGTGTTTACACTACAGCTCGGCCAATCTGACCTAAAAGCAGATCGACCCCGATCTGTCTATGTAATTATTATGCATAAGTACTTATAAATATTAATGATAATAGTTAATACTCTTCGGCAGTGTCGCTTTCATTCGAACCCTCTGTACCTTTACTTTTCCATAACTTGATGTTACAGGCTTCTATAATACCGTCATAGGGTATTTGGGTTATCTGTCCGTTCTCAATGTCTCTAACTACGTATCGGTCATTTGGGAGCTTCTTATGTATGATATACGGTCCCTTATATTTTGGCAGAAGTTTCTTATTGACACCCACCGTCGTGTCTACATTTTTTATCACCACGAAATTCCCTTCCTCAAATGTCTCTACCCTCATCTTCTTCTGCTCACTTCGACTTAAGTTGTATTTTTGCAATTTTTCAATTTTTTCTTCAGCACTATCACGCAGGGCATCCAAATCCCTCCCCCCTGGGCCTGAAATGAACTCGTCTAGGTATTCGGTAAGTTCATCGATTATTTCTCCTCTTTGGTTCACTCCGAACAGAGCTTGGCTCGGTGTTATTCCGATTGACCTACTTATTGAGTTGTTCAGTGCGAATTCTATTTTGGTCAGCTGCTTTACCCAGTCAGCATGTGTTATTGGGTCGCTTAGCTTTGCCAACATTCCGACAAGGCTTCGATTCACCCTTTCCACCTGTCCATTTGCTTGCGGTGAATGGACTGCAACTTTTACGTGGGTAATGTTTTTGTTCGTTACATATTCTTCAAATTCTTTCGACGTAAAGCAGCTACCCCTATCTGTGATGCATGTCTGTGGCCGACTGTAGTATTCGAAGTATTTATTAAGTGCCGCGGTTACCTCTTTGGTGCTTGTTGTCAGAACGGGGTATAATTTTACGTATTTAGTAAAAGCATCGATAATAACCAGAATATGCTTTCTTTTCGACTGTAGGGACGGAAGTGGGCCTAAGTGATCTAAGTGTATCGTATGGAAGGGCTTAGGGTGTTTCGGAATATTGTGCAGTTGTCTAGTGCCTGAACTATTGGATGCGGAGTACATGATACACTTTATGCAGTTTTTCTTAAAGTTATTGATTTTGTTCCTCATATCGGGAAACCAATAATTTGCTTTTATTTTTTGGTAACATTTTTCAACACCTTGGTGTCCTAATGATTTCTTCTTCGAGTTCCTTAGGGACGTAAAGTTGTAATATATCTTTATCTTTTTTAAATACAACGCCATTTTCCATTACGTAGTCCTTCATATTTTCGTTTTCTAATCTATTTTTAACCGACTTCCAAAAAAGGAGGAGGTTATCAGTTCGTCGGAATATTTTTTTTTTTTTTTTATGTATGTTACCGCATAACTTTGGACCACGTCAACCGATTTCGATAATTCTTTTTGCATCGGAAAGGTAGTGTCTCAGAGGTGGTCCCATACTAATCTGGTTGAGATCCGATCAGTGGATCATGAGATATATATATATATATATATTTTTTATATGGGAGTTGAAGTCGGTTTTTTTTTTGCTAAAAATTACTAGTTTAAATCCATTATTTTCTGATCACGAGACTGCGTAATTTGTTGTTGACATATAATACATTTATATTCTGGAAGTATGGCAACACTACGCAAAAAGACATGTTTGTAACTTCCGCCTTTTTTCTTTCTCTCTACTTTTTTACTTCTTGCGATTTACACGTGCCTTTGTCAAGACAGTTAAGGTATTTAAATATAAAATAAAATACTAGATTTAGAACCAAAAAGAACCGGCTTATTTTTACTTGGTCGTCCTAACATGGTAGCAGAGCAAGGTTATTGAGGAATAACCGAGAAGTCAAACGTTAAAGAAACTATATCGAAGAGTAATAAAAATGGCGACTGTTAAAAATAGCGATATCGTGATACCAATATTCGACGGAGCAGACTACAGCAATTGGAGGTTACGCATTTTAAAGTTTCTACAATTTAAGCAATGTAGAGAGGTAGCGACGAGGGAGAAAATTAATTCAGACAAAGCTGAGGAGTGGGAAGTCAAGGACGTGCAAGCAACTAATTACATTTACAGCGCCATTTCAAATAAGCAATTAGAGTACATAAGCGAACTCGATTCGGCGTACAAAATAATGTGTAAGTTTGACGAAATGTACCTTGAAAAGTCAACAGCTTTGCAAATTGTTTGCCGAAACAACCTTGAATGTGTCAAAGTGAAAAATTACTCTGATGTAAACCGNATTGTTTGCCGAAACAACCTTGAATGTGTCAAATTGAAAAATTACTCTGATGTAAACCAGTTTTTTATGACTTTGAAAAGCTAGTAAACGAGCTAAAGCAAGCCGGTGCAGTCATAAGCGAGCAGGAAAAATTGAATTACATGCTAAAAGCACTACCACATAGTTGTAGCCATATTGGAGATCTTATTGACGTGTTACCTGAAAAAGACAGAACGGTAGAGTATCTCAAAAGCAAACTTAAAATGAAATCCATGGAATCGATTACAGAAAAACCACCAGAAGCAGTAAATGAAACATCAAACGTTTTCAAGGCAGATTGCCGTGCGCGTTCATCTTCTGGAAGTAAACCAAAATGCTACATTTGTGGGAAGCCTGGACATATGAAGCGAGATTGTTGGCTCGGAGTCGGAAATTGTGGACGAGGACGCGGTTCTAGACACCAGGAACGAGGAACACAAAGTCAACGAAATTTTCAAAGAGGCAGAGGAAGTCATCAAAGCCAGTCGAGTAGTGAACGCCAGGGTAACAGCTTTCATATTACTATCGCGAATAATATCGAGAGAAGTTACAAAGCAAATAGCGATGAGATAATATGGTTGCTCGATAGTGGATGTACAGACCACATCATTAACAGTGATGAGTATTATGAGGAGTATGAGACATTGAAGAACCCCATTAAGGTTAAAGTCGGCGATGGAAGAATCTTGGAAGCTACTAAAGTCGGTAACATTAAAACTTTCTTTCCAGTCTATGATGAAAAATCCGAAGTTAAACTGATTGATGTATTTTACGTTAAAGAGATGAAAGCAAATTTATTAAGCTACTCTAAAATCACCGACAATCACTCTGTCATCTCTAAAGGTCGACTATCGAAAATATACAACAGCAATCGAGAAATTGTAGCGATGGCAACGAAAGAGGAAAGACTATACAAAATGAAAAGTTACATGACAAAAGAAAAACTAAAGGCGAA